CATGTGATTATATATAAAAATTATAGTAAAATTTGTGTAACCTATCTGACCAATCATATGAATGTCCTCCTATGAGTTTGACTCAGCAACGATAGGATCAGGTGAAACTGATACATCGAGTACGGGAAAGTCTCCACATGAACCAAACTTGGTTTTTCTTTTATGAAGTTGATGCGGAATAGCATTGACGATGGAAACCATAATCAATAAAACGAGTATAAGAACAAAATTTTGGTTCATGTTGAAGACAAATTGGTAATAAAATGGTAGTTTTTTTTTTCTTTGCGAATATGATAATTGTTAGTTTTGATTTCTGAGTAAATTGAAATCGGTGATTCTTTTATAAGAAAAAAAAGTCTCCTGGATTCCCTTTTCCCTTTTCATTATTCATTTATGCATAATTAATGCATATCAGTAATAAAATTAAATGCTATACACGCGTATTAAAAGTATTTTAAATGAAAGAAAAACTGTATCACCTAATTTTCAACTACATCGGGTATTATTTATACAGTTTAAAGTACTTTTTCGGAAAATAGAGTTACATTAAGTAAAAAAAAATCTTACTGTTGTGGCATTTCTAAAATACGAAGCTTAAAGTTCTTTATATTGTTATAGAAATTGGTTTAAAATTTTTTAGTAAAGAGTTACAAATTTATATTAAAAAATAAAGAAATCTGTATACTTTCTGAATATATGAAAAGATAAAACCAATAATTTATTACATTTTAATATTTGCCTTTCATTGCTTTTCGTTACTTTTATGAAATATATAATAAAATAAACATCTATATCAGAATTTTCATAATTAGTTATTATATTATTATATTATTTGTAATTTTATTAGTTCTATATATGTTCTCTATATGGGTCATGGACTAACAAAAAGGACCTCTGAGGAATATCTTACTTTTTTGAGAAATCATAAATCAATATAAAATTACCGTTACCTTATTTTTCAGCCCCTGAATTTAAGTTTATTTTTAGCATAAAATGTAATGTGACGATCAATATACACAATAACTATCATGTTTAACTTTAATAAAGATAATAATAAAGAAAATAATTTATTTCTTTCTATCAAACATACTTATTTAGAACAATATGAAGATAATGAATTTATGCAAATAGTCATTAAGAACTTACAACAATTATTTTCTTTTGCTACCTATACTTGTCAAAATAAAGAAGAAAAATGTTTTGAAAAAGTTGATTTTAAAGCTTTTTTTAAAAGACATTTGGAATTTCAAAGTTTAGAAAAACACAGTTAGATTTTATTTTAATAGATCAGTTATTAATTTTTTTCTAATAATGAAAAAACAGTTAATAGTTAAAAAAAATAAAAAATTTTTTGACTATCATTTTAATTTTAAAATTTCTTTATATAAAAACACTTATCTCAAACTTATTGGAATTTCAGATAATACTTTAAAAGTAGTTAGAAGTTATTTATTAACTGAAGGCTTAATAAAAAGACAATATAGAAATATAAAAAAATCTTCCTAAAGTAACATCAAAGGTTATAATTGATCAAGAATTATCAACTAAAGTTTATAATTTTATTATTAATTATGTAAGTATTCATGAACTTTCTTCACCAAGCCATCATATACAAACTGATTCTTTGTCAATTATTTATTACCAACTGAAAAAAAATTATACTAATGTATATGAGGATTTTGTTGTTATTAATAAAGAATTAGAAGTGCTTCAATTATATTATATAAAAGCTTTGTTTAATTTTGAAAAAATCTTATATCACATATTAAATTTATGACATACAGTATAGATTTATGTGATACATGTGAAATGTTAAAAAACATTCAATATTATTAACGTGTAATTCTTACGAACTACAACTGTTAGACAGTTTATCAAGTTATTATTTCTTTTTAATTGCACAGTAATCTTAAAGCTTTTATAAAGTTATTATTATGATTAAATTCAGATAAAGATTTATATGAGTGTTTCATGATTAACAGTTCAAAAGGTATCAAGTAATTATATTTTCAAATAAGATTTTTATGATGAAATAGAAAATAGAAAAAAAGAGAATAAAAGATATGACAAGAGAAAAGAAAAGAAAATAAAAAAAATGAAGTATTAAACTAAAACATAACACAATAGGCCTGTTTGCCTCTTAAAAACTACTGAAAAACTGACTTGCCAAATCCTGCTTTTTACATGATCTAAAAAAACTATCTATTTATATAAAATACAGTATATAGAAAGATATAACTAATATGTCTAATATATCGTATATGTCAAATATGTCTGATATGTCATATATGTTGAATCTAGTCTAATATATCTTATTTGTTGATTATATTATATAAATCATATATATTAGACATGTCAGAAATGTCAGATATATCGGATTTGTCAGATTTGTCGATAATCTGCATCACATAAATCCTATCATATTTATCTGTTCACAATACTATTGAAGTTAGTTTTATAATTTCAGAATACACAAATTTTTTGCCAAATGAATATTTTTGTAATATTAAAGCTTTTTTTGAAAAACGCAGATTAATACAATAAATGATGTTAAACAAATAATAAAAAAGTCTACTAAAAATAATTCTAATCATATTGTTTGCTATAATAATGAAAATAAATGATTATATTATAATTTTAAATCATTTTTGAAATCTCATTTTCGAAAGTTACCTGGTATTTAAAAATATTGGCATTTTTGTTTAAAAGAAATAAACCAGAAAAAATATTTGCTTAAAAAGAGATTAGGAATTTTGGTATTTTGATGTTTTAAAAAATAAATGTTTTGATGTTAGAGTTTCAATAGTTATGTTTTCATTTAAACCTTTATTATTAATACATCAAGAATATTTGTATAAAATTATTTGAAAATTTATTGATAGACCATTTTGGGATATCATATGTCATAAACCTTAGTTAAATAGCTTTTTTAAAAAAATATATATATCATTATCTCTTTAAATATACATACTGTAGTATTCTAACTTTAGAATGTTGATCATTTTTTGTTAACAGTAATTTCAATCAAAATAAATCAATAATTTATTATACTTATATATAGGGTTCTGCAATTTGATTTGATTCGATTAAATTCAAATCAAAAAATGATTTATTTGATCAAATCTAAATTAATATTTGATTCAATTCGATCAAATTCAAATCAAGTATTCAAATATTTGATTTGATTCGAATCAATAGTAAACTACCTTTAAAGCTTTAGGAGTGATTCTTATTAAGAAAATTATAGCAAAAAGTGCCTCCACTGCTTCAGAAATACTTTTTGACTAAGAAAATTATAGCAAACGTGCTTTTGTAGCTTTGAAAATACCTTTTTTACTAAGAAAACCATAGTAAAAGTGCTTTCACAGCTTCAGAAATGCCTTATTTACTAAGAAAAATATAGTAAAAAATGCTTTTATAGCTTCGAAGATGTTAATTTACTAAGAAAACATAGTAAAAAATGCCTCTGCAGCTTCAGAGGCATTATTTTACTAAGAAAACATAGTAAAAACGCTTTTATAACTTCAGAGACACTAGCTTACTAAGAAAAAATAGTAAAAAATGCTACTGCAGCTTTGAAGACACTATTTTACTAAGAAAATATAGTAAAAAAATGCCTCTGCAGCTTCAGAAACGCTATTTTACTAAGAAAACATAATAAAAAACACTTTTATAGCTTTGGAAATGCTATTTTACTAAGAAATCTAATAAAAAATACATCTGCAGCTTCAGAAACGTTTTGTTACTAATAAATTATTATGATGACAGTTATTATTAAGTAAGGTTGCTGGATGAAATCAAGAGTTTAGACAGACATCTAAATGGTAAAAGTAAAACTTGGTTAAATTATATTAAA